CAAAAAACTTCATTGAATGATTCATTGCAAAAGGCTAATGAAAAATCAGATACAAGAGGTACCTAAAACAGGACTAGAAGAGTGATGATTACTTCATTCTATCCTCCTTTACTTGAATACTCACTCTACTAAACCTTTATCTGAATTGCCTTTCTTCTCTGAAGAGACTACCAGACTGTAAACAAAAATCTTCCAAGTTAGTGGCTTTACAGATTCACCTCAAAGGAGGATCCCCATAGAGGCCCCTCCCAGGGCTGACAGGACTCTGAGGGATTCTTCAGTAACCTGCTATCCATTATTCCCTTAAACAGCCAAGGGAAGCTAAAATGGAAATAAAAATTAATAGAAAACCTTGCCAAAATCTGGTATATACCAGGACTGTCCTCCATACTTTGAACCCCTTTCTCTTGGGATCCTACAGATGAGATCCTGAGAAAACTGGCAGAAGGGTGAGATTACTTACCAGAGTCAGTTCTCCTAGATCTCTGTGACTACTTCCCTGAAACCTGAAGAGGCAGTGGTAATCAAGAATCATGCTAAGACCAATATTTTTGATCACACCTCTTGAATGGTCTGATCAAAACAGGGGACTGTTGAAATAACTTCCTAGGTCCCAAACAGAGCCACAGCTAAGTCAGCAAACCGAAACTTAGGTAACTTTTGTGTTCCTGTAAATGCTTCTTTTAACCAGAAGCACAGACTATCCAGTCAGCCAATCCCCACAAGCCAAGTCCCCTCTGGGTCTTCTCACCCTAAAGGTTGACTATGTGGTCTCAGCCAATCAGGTATTTTCTATTTTCTTCTTCCTTGCTCTTTATTCTTTATCCTATAAAAATTTCTTGCCTTCTGCCTATTTTGCAGTTCTCTGAAATAAGACAGTACACTTCATGAAGTGTTAAATAAAATTTGTTTATATCATCTAAATTGTCTCTAATGATTTTAACAGCAGAATGAAGTAAAAAGAAAGAAATTTAGTTTAATGTGAATCTACTGTATCCTATAGACATTACCTAGAACATTAAAATGATTTCACCAAATATTATCTTGTAAGTAAGATGAGAGAGCAAATCAGAAGTACCTGTGGGGAAAAATATCTTTCTTGGTAGATTCTTCAATTTATTTGGAGTGGGGTCAGGCAAAATATTTACCTGTAATATGTGGGTTTTATTTTGAGGTTTCAGATTCATTCAAAACCACAGGAACTTATAAGTAACAGAAGGAAAAAAATACATAATTCTTTTAATAATTAAAATTTTATGAAACAAAGTCAAGAAAAATACATATTAGGCATTCTAAACCAACTTAAGAAGTTTACTTCATTATACTTCTTCAGATATCGAGCAACTTGTTATAAATTCGATATGAAATCAAAGAAAAATAATATATTCCCTTGTAATCTTAATCTCCTTATATTCCATTTTTTTGTTTAATGTTATCACATCTATTTAGGGAACCAGACCAGAAATAAGGAAGCACTTCCATTTCCCAAATCTTAAGTATCTAGTAAAATGCATACTTTGAAATAGGTCCTCACTAAATTAAATTTGTTAAGTGAATGAATAAATAAATAGAAGGCCATCTAATTTTACTATTGGAATTGGATAGACTAGAGAAGTAGTCTGTCATGTTTTTTTAAATTGCCCTAAGAATTTGAGAATAGACCCACAAGAAAATATTTTCTTCCTCAGTTGAGTAATTAAATCAGGTAATGTAAGTAAACCAATGGCTACCTTGTCTACGTTATATTCCGGCTCCGTTTTCCCGCCGAATTCGGGCGCCACAAGCTCTGGCAGCGGCTTTAGAGGCTGGGAGGCAGTGGCAGCAGCAGCGGCCTGAGCGCATGCGCGCGGAGTCCCTCGCTGTCCGCCTGCGCAGTCCCGCCTTCACAGCTTCCGGAAACTTTGCTCTCACCTGCTGAGCGAGCGACTCTGGGCGGAACTGAGGAGAGCCCGCTTCAACAGTGACCTCTTCCCTTTTAAAAATGTCTCAGCAGAGTACTGTGAGTCCAATACGACTTCAATGGAATGTTGTGAAGTGCTGGGGAAGAAATGTAGTTTCTTTCCATGAAGAAACACCGTGCAGCATGAGCGCAGTGGAGAAGGCCGAACATTTCAAAGGAGCCGAAACTAAGATGGCCTGTGGCAGGGAGGCTGTCCTGAACCTACGAAGGTAAGAAAGTGCTTTTCTGTTCTGCGTTCCTTTCTACTTTGTACTAGAACTACCCTTATTAAATTATATACATTTTCAGATAACTCTTTGGAAAGCAAAATCTAAAGTCTTAACAAAGTTCATTCTGCTACAAACTTATTTTTTGTTTAATTAGGAGGTGCTTCTGACACGTTTGATCCAAAGCTCTCATTAAATCCCAGCAGGAAAAGCTTTAATGCCAATCATGCAGAAACTACGTGGTTTTGACAAATTCTTTTTAATGATATTGTAAACAAATTAAAAGCACAGTTTCATGGCCAAGAAATGTAAATAAGATGAACTAATGTATACTTATGTAAACACGTATCATAAGAATTAAATTAAAAATTGAACACCATGAAAATCATTTTTGTTAGTTATGTCCCTTGCACAAAAGAATTATATGTATTTTTTCTACCAAATGTTTATCACTGTTCATAGATATAAATTAGTTAAT